TTGATTGGTTGGTGATAAAACGCGCAACATCGCTATTCAACTCGTTTTGCAGCAGTATTGCACGTTTTTGTTTCCCACTTTACCGTAGATTTAGGGACAGTTCAGAGAGGTACTGTTTAATGAGTTTTTAAGAAGCTCCGTTATACCTCTTCCATGGAGTCCGTTCCAAACGAGACGGTTCCCAGATGAAGACGCTTGAAAACCTGTTTCAGAAAAAAAAAATCGAATCGTTTTAAAATACAAAAGCAAAATCACAAACATTCCTTGTTTCTCTTGTTTTGCGGTGCAGAACTAGATAGCAAGAAAATAACTAGAAGATTTCAAANGCGAATTCATTTTTTGAGTGACTTTTTCGTAGCCGTCGCCGTCGTTGCACCCCCATATACTGGAATCAAGGGAAATTAGCTTTTAAACACTTATTGAAACACAAACCTTTGATGCCTGTGTAGTCTTCTTGGACGGTGGGGTACCGCTTGGTGTGTAGGACGCCTTCACGTGGCTAATGACCTGTAATGAAATAGTGGCACATATACCATGATGGCTGAGCCAATCAGAACTCTAGAATTTCATTATCCAATGATTAAGTTTTCATAAATATACAGTAAATGGAAATACTGAGTTACCTTCCCAAAACAGAAAATAGTGATTCCGTGGTCCTTTAAGCTATTTCATTTTAATTCTACCATCTTTTCCAGATGAAATGATGGGAATGAAGCTTATTTATTCCATTTTTCTCGTTTGTTCAAACGCGGGAGTCACGCTAAACTATTCTAAACTTTCTACAACAACTTTTTGCAACCTGCTTCGTTGCAAGACAGGTTTGATTGGTTGGTGATAAAACGCGCAACATCGCTATTCAACTCGTTTTGCAGCAGTATTGCACGTTTTTGTTTCCCACTTTACCGTAGATTTAGGGACAGTTCAGAGAGGTACTGTTTAATGAGTTTTTAAGAAGCTCCGTTATACCTCTTCCATGGAGTCCGTTCCAAACGAGACGGTTCCCAGATGAAGACGCTTGAAAACCTGTTTCAGAAAAAAAAAATCGAATCGTTTTAAAATACAAAAGCAAAATCACAAACATTCCTTGTTTCTCTTGTTTTGCGGTGCAGAACTAGATAGCAAGAAAATAACTAGAAGATTTCAAACGCTTAACGTAAACGAAACAGCCGAATTCCTTTTTGAATAGAAAGCAAGAAGACAAAAAAACAAACAAAAAAAACGCAAGATAACATATCCCGGTTAGTGTCCTGCAAGCAGCCGCTAGCTAATTTGGACGGTATATATATTTACGGGATAAATCACTTCAAACAAAGTTCAAGACAGGGTCGCAAGTTCCTAAAAGCACTCGTTCTAACCAAGCTTGTACAGCCTCAGAAGCTTTTGAATTCCTCGCTTCTAATTAGTTAGAAAATATTTTCTGATAATCAGAAAGGGGCACTCTCCAGCCTTCTTGTACAAGCTTTGTCTGAAGTGATTTTGCCTCCGGAGAATATTCCAAACCCCTTATTGCCCCTAGAGCTCAGATGATACAGTAATTACCATTTCATTTTCTGTCAGGGTCCCTGTCTTATCAGACAACAGGTATCCTATTCGCCCCAGTTCTTCGGGAATCGTACTGCTACGGACCACTGTGCCGGGAATGTCTTTATCGTGTACAATAAACCAAGAGTACACTACTTTACCCATATCCAGGCTTACTCGGAGACTGCAAAGAACACAACAAAATTAACGAGCTAGGGGAAAAACGACTCATACCAGGTCCCACTTACCCCTCCCCTAAGCCAACGTTAACACTTACTTCTCACTTAGGGCAAAATGGTGGCTAGGGGAGGGGTAGGTGGGCCGTTTCGCAGAAACGTATAATGATCCGTACAAATTAGGGACTGAATGACAAGATCGGGTCATTCGATGAGGGATTCAAGCTGACGCAGGATAAACGCTAATTTTCAGGGCCCAGTGGATTAGCCGTATTCAGAAAATGAGAATACTGGAGCGCTATATTTTAAGCTTCATGCTGTGTAAAGTGAAACTCACAAGACTGCGTACCAGTCCTCTTTCGAATTTTACCAGGCCCCAAGAGTAAGGTGTTCGTTTGAGGTCGGATTGTACGTCTGGTTGCTACCTTATCTTTACAGGTTTCTTTCTTTTCTCTTTTTTTTCTGCACCGTAATTTTTAGGGAGTTATTATAACTCCAAAAATGGAGTAAAAATTTTAGGTACAGGATGACCCCTTTTTGGGGGTTACTTTAACTCCTAATTTAACTCCTAATTAGGGGTCTTATTTACTCCTGAAAAAGAGTTCTTTTTACTCCCAGTCTGGAGTTAAAATAACTCGAAACGGGGTTATTTTTACTCCTTACATGGGTTGTTTTTACTCTTTTTGGAGTTAATTTAACTCTGAAAGTGGAGTAAAAATGTTAGGTACAGGATAACTCCTTTTTTGGGGTTATTTTAACTCCTCAATATCTGGGGTCACTTTTATTCGTTGCACCCCCATATACTGGAATCAAGGGAAATTAGCTTTTAAACACTTATTGAAACACAAACCTTTGATGCCTGTGTAGTCTTCTTGGACGGTGGGGTACCGCTTGGTGTGTAGGACGCCTTCACGTGACTAATGACCTGTAATGAAATAGTGGCACATATACCATGATGGCTAAGCCAATCAGAGCTCTACAATTTCATTATCCAATGATTAAGTTTTCATAAATATACAGTAAATGGAAATACTGAGTTACCTTCCCAAAACAGAAAATAGTGATTCCATGGTCCTTTAAGCTATTTCATTTTAATTCTACCATCTTTTCCAGATGAAATGATGGGAATGAAGCTTATTTATTCCATTTTTCTCGTTTGTTCAAACGCGGGAGTCACGCTAAACTATTCTAAACTTTCTGCAACAACTTTTTGCAACCTGCTTTGTCAGTGCAAGACAGGTTTGATTGGTTGGTGATAAAACGCGCAACATCGCTATTCAACTCGTTTTGCGGCAGTATTGCACGTTTTGTTTCCCATTTTACCAAAGATTTAGGTACAGTTCAGAGAGATATTGTTTAATGAGTTTTTAAGAAGCTCCGTTATACCTCTTCCATGGAGTCCGTTCCAAACGAGACGGTTCCCAGATGAAGACGCTTGAAAACCTGTTTTAGAAAAAATATCGAATCGTTTTAAAATACAAAAGCAAAATCACAAACATTCCTTGTTTCTCTTGTTTTGCGGTGTAGAACTAGATAGCAGGAAAATAACTAGAAGATTTCAAACGCTTAACGTAAACGAAACAGCCGAATTCCTTTTTGAATAGAAAGCAAGAAGAAAAAAAAACACAAGATAACATATCCCGGTAAGTGTCCTGCAAGCAGCCGCTAGATAATTTGGACGGCATATATATTTACGGGCTAAATCACTTCAAACAAAGTTGAAGACAAGGTCGCAAGTTCCTAAAAGCAATCGCTCTAACGAAGCTAGTACAGCCTCAAAAGCTTTTGAATTCCTCGCTTCTAATTAGTCAGAAAATATTTTCTGATAATCAGAAAGGGGCACTTCCCAGCCTTCTTGTACAAGCTTTGTCTGAAGTGACTCTGCCTGAGAATATTCAAAACCCCTTACTGCCCCTAGAGCTCATATGATACAGTAATTACCATTTCATTTTCTGTCAGGGTCCCTGTCTTATCAGACAACAGGTATCCTATTCGCCCCAGTTCTTCGGGAATCGTACTGCTCCGGACCACTGTGCCGGGAATGTCTTTATCGTGTACAATGAACCAAGAGTACACTACTTTTCCCATATCCAGGCTTACTCGGAGACTGCAAAGAACACAACAAAATTAACGAGCTAGGGCAAAAACGACTCATACCAGGTCCCACCTATCCCTCCCCTAAACCAACATTAACACTTACTTCTCACTTATGGCAAAATGATGGCTAAGGGGAGGGGTAGGCGGGCAGTTTCCCAGAAACGTACAGTGATCCGTACAAATTAAGGGACTGAATGACAAGATCGGGTCATTCGATGAGGGATTCAAGCTGGAAAAGAGTTCTTTAAACTCCTTTTTGGAGTTATAATAACTCCCCCCAAAATAACTCCACTGTAAGGAGTTAAATTAGCCCCAATAGAGGAGTTATTATAACTCTTTGAAAATTACTGTGCATATTTATCTTTTAGTTAAGGATTCAGCCATAGAGTCGTCGTCTTCAGGATAAAAAAATTGACGTCTTTAATATTTCTTTGACAATCAAGAAACAACTGTTATGCTTTAAAATGTTAATGTGCTATATAATTTCCAGGGGACTGTCTCTCTACTCTCAGAACGCTAGAAACAGTGGCGTTGTGAGTGTCATTTCAAGACCGGAGACAGAAATTAGAATTAACAAATACCCTTACTCCGATCTAAAGCTGTAACTGTCATAACAAATGACACAAGACACGTACGAAAGGCACGAGCAATTTATACTGGGCCGTTTAAACCTCTTAGATTTAAACTTTTATTACCCGTAACGAAAAGAAAGCCGTAGTGAATTAATTAATGAAGGTAAAAACACAGTATCTTATTTGCTGAAGACATTTTAACACTGGAAATATCCGTCGTCTTTATTTCTTAAGTTTTTTTTAAATTTTTTTTTTATTTCGGACACCCAAACAATTACAATACATTACATTTACAATTCATTACAATAAATTCTAATTATTTCATTTTATTTCTTAAGTTAGTGTAAGCCCTAAATGTAACTATAGCAATGTCCATTTTTTTTCTTATGAGAATGAAGGGACCAAACACTGGATTTAGTTTTATGAATCGGGTTCGAAAGATTCTTTCAATGAGCTCCTTTTCGTTTATCGGTCAGTGCAATAAAGAGGTCTTTTGGGTGCGTTCCGTGTTTCAGGCTCTCGGCTTATACAGGGACCAAGCCAGACACAGTAGCTCAAATAATTAAAACGTTGACCAACACAAGTCACGTAAGCAACGTCAGGTATCGCCACGTTGACCACTTACAAGTTGCGAAAGGTCTTCGCTGGTATAAAGTGCTAAAGGAATAATATTTACAACCGCCACTAAAATGTGTCTTTTCCATCGTCTTCCCCATACAGCCATGACAGCCAAATTCTGATAACGAGTCTCGATCGCCAATGAAACACTGGTGAAAAACCATTCAATCACCAGCTGAACTAAGGTGAACTTGGCAAATAACAGTAGTACCATTGAAAGGGAGCTATCTTGCAAGCAAAGAAACTTAAACAAGTAAATAAAGCCATTTACGGACACTATAGCAGTCGATTCAGACATCATGCTCATGATAGCGATATCAGCCATGAGTCTCTCACGGCGTGGAGTACGGAAACTTCCCCAAGGAGCTGATTTCCTTTTCCAAAGCAAATAAAAAATGTGATCAATGAACACCATTGTACTCCGTTCTATAACTTCTGCAGCGCCGTGGATAATTCCTACAATAGCAATGTTCTCTAGACTGTCAAGATCTGCTTGCAAAGCTCGAAAGATAATCGCTGACCCATAATACAACGGCACCAGCAAGGTATAAGAATACCCCGGATGAGCAATATTATATAGTCGTTGAACACATATTCGTGAGATTATCTTCACAACGACTCCAATGAGAGGAAAAAATAGGGCAAGTAAAAGTTTGTTTTTACTCTTAACGTAATACGGATAGACAAAGTACTGACCAATCTGTCCGAGAAGAAATGTAAAACAAGCCGTTGCTAACATCTGAAGGAACAAAATGAGCTTCTTTATTTTTCTTGAACGGGGGCAGAAATGATTCGTCACCACGTACTGTTCCAAACAAACGCTGATGATGAATATCGTGTTTAGTGGAAACCAAGTTAAAAAGCTGGAAATGCTCACATGAGATAACTTTAAGAATCGTTGAAACATGCGATAGAGTGCGTCCAAGCAGTATGATAGAAATGAAACCAGAAAGAGCTTTCCTTTCACCCCCTTTAACTGAAATGGACGAAAGAGGAAGAGCAAAACAGTGAAGGGCCAAATATAAAGAAAAATACAATAAAGCGTACCAGCAAATGCCCATTGCGTTTGCAGTCTATTTGATTTAGGTCCACAGTTTACGGTCGATAACAAATTAAAACAAGCGTAACAAATAACCGTGTACAATGTACCAATGAAAGTAGCGGCGAGCAGCGAGATCAAAGCTCCAGTACTCAGTGATTTGCCTACTGTACAGAGAACAGATGGTCTCAGAAGCTTCCAAGCCATTGCCTTGTCCTTGTTGCGATCTTCCTGTGTAATTTCTTCGATGGAGCAAGCATTGATAACCTTTATATCAAGATTTCTAGACGCCAGATAATCCCATGTGGTAGATTCTCTTTCGCTGTATTCTTGATAGATAAGCTCATCAACGGGACGACAATACCATTCTCGACCTGTACTTTCTAGAGGATTGTAACCAAAAGATTCTTCAGTGAATTCCGGTTCCTCTGGATTGTAGTGCTCTGTTACGCCTCGGGTAAAACTGAACAAAATTTGACCAACTACCTCTGCTAGTACACCCATTTTCACGAGAGAACTCTACACGCACCGTAAGTTTTCTTGGTTAGAGTTTATAGCACCGCTCCACCTTAATAGTCATGGTCAATTGATATATCCGTTCTTGTTGTTGACAGTTTTAGAGCGCTGTAATTATAGCAGCAAACAGGTTATTTATATAAATAAATACGTTAGTTCCCACACCTGACCGTTCTTTCTCAGCATGTTTCTACGCATGCAGGGTTCAAAATGAAATCACAGCTTTTAGCCTGAATCTGAAGGCTTTTTTGGTCAAGGCCTATTTTGTTCCCTGCTGTCAATAATGAATCACTTTTTTCACTTTCTGAGATTTGCGTGTATGACACGCGACCAAAATCTTCCTGAACTGAAATTTCACTTTCTTCCTTGAGAAACCTTGAAAATATAAAGTAATTTTACGAAGATTTCGCACATAACACATGCTTTGAACTGCCAAAATATTTTAATTAACGTGTTTCATTGCAACAATAGACCTTTTTACCGAAACGGCGGCCATATTGAATTAATTCGATTTAAGGAGTATTAAAGGATGCCCAGGGCGCATAGTTTAGAATTAGAAATATGCTCTTTCACTGTATATTTCTCGGGAAAAAGGCGATCATTATTACATCCAAACACGGCACAAGGATCTTTTTTTCCCATTACAATCTTATTCTAAGAAAACTTTCCGAAAAAATGTCCCGAAAAGCGCTCGAAAATACAAAAGAAATGTGCTCATGGCCCCTGGGCATCCTATGATACTCATTAAATCGAATTAGTTCAATATGGCCGCCGTATCAGTAAAAAGGTCTATTGCCTTCAAACAAAAACAAACAGTCGCGCTTCTTCACTCAAACTAAGGCGGAGCACAAACATGAGAAATACGTTCTGTTGAGCAATATGAATACAAATCTGACTTTAATTTGAACGAGAGAAAAGGCTTCACAAACGGCACTAAACAAGTTTTGGTGCAAAATAAATCTTGATTACAAGTGTAGAAACATAAAGGCGCTAACGCAACAGTTTGTCTAGACAAATTTGCACGTTTCATGCTAGCCTCCTACGCAGACGTTCGTCACGCGTTCCTGCCCAGGAAACTTGGCGAAAACTTTAAAATCCTCCAGAAATGCCCAGGGAAACTAGAGTGTTTAATACAGGAGATGTTGATAAGATAAAAGACCTATGCTAAACACTCAAGCGGACTCCACCCGTGCGAAAATTTTCATTTAATTATAATTTGTCCATTTTCACACTTTAATTTACATGCACGTTTCGCACTTTCTTTTTCTATAAATATTACCACGAATCATGTTAATTTCTCATCCCTTGATAATGATGACATGAAGCCATCGAAACGTCAGGTTTCTTTTATATCGTTATTTTTGTTTCAAATAAAGCTTATTGAACTGGCTATCTTAACAACGGTTTTTAAAAAGAAATGCACTATCGATTTTTTTGTTCGGTTTTGTAACCCAAGCATTCGAATCAACTACACCTCAAAACGATTTTTGTTTTTTATCAATTTGACTTGGTCGAGTCTCTCGGAAGTCAAAGCGCTAAAAAAAGTTGCGGGATTTTGCCATCATTTACTGGGCAAATAAAAGTTACAGAACAATTTAGAAAAAAGGCTGAAAAATAGTTAGATGATCATGCAAAAATGTCTCTCAACAAAAACGTTCAAAAAAGATTCCCCGCCCCGATATTTGTTGCTTGAGCATTAAGGTAATACAATGTATCTTTCAAAATTCTGGGTCAATTGAACAAATTTCCTTTAAGTTTAAGCTTTCGAAAGCTGATTCGGGCGCTCGCATTAAAAATTAATAAAACGGAACGCACTACATCACTTGGACACGAGACACCCCTGAAGGTATTCGGTTAGTAACTTACAAAGCTGAAGTATTTGG